AGAATGGAGGAGGGCCTGGAGACAGCGAATGAAATGAGAAAATGATGGCATCCATGTCTGAAGAAGATAATCCATGTGGCAGGCGACAAGGGAGAAAAAAACCCACCAGGCCGGTGACTGATAAGACTCAGAGACATCATAGAGCACTTCCAGGTCTTTAGATGGGAAATGGCAAAACATTATGCTCCTGGCACACCAGTTGAAACTTCTCCAGTTTTGAGGATGACTTTACTTAGTACGAACATTTGCAGAAAAGACCACATTTTTCTCTGCGGGTTTAAAACCCTTGGGGTAGTCTTAATTTTCACAGTTTCAGTGATAAATACCCTGTCAGTCAGAGAGCCGATCTACAAACTGAATGATCAGTCAGTAAATAAAAAAATAGCGGGTGCGAATACAAGGTGATCAGCTCTACGGGGAGTGTTCATATCATGCTCCGTTAACACAGTAGTTAGCAGTCGAGAAGATGTTTCAGACCACTCCAAATAATCACAGACCCCATAAATATTCAGATTAACCTGATTTATTCATACATCTATATTCTTAATCAAAACCTTTAACGTGCGAGAGAGAGCAGCTAAACAACTAGATGTAAATGAGCGTGACCTTTTGTGAACATCAAGTTGTGCTTTATCTCCTACTGCTTTCCCTAAATATGATTATCATAATGTATTCCTCGTCAGCATGTTCTTACGGTCGACCCGTTGCACATTCGCCTGTCAAAGGAGCCCTGCCACAGCCAAGCTTCCCTTGCCTACAGCCATATCACACAAGCACCTTCGCTAATAGCGTCTCTGTCTGTGTCATTAAAAGCAATGGGCATCACTCAAACCAGGTCACGCCATTTTGTTCTAGAACACTCAAACTGCTTCCTTTCTTTGAATGTTTAATGAGATTTTTTTTGTGTTCGCAGATGCGCACAAACCAGCTAATGAGTTTGATTTAGCTCACAAAGGCGATTGTACACCAACATCCACAACGAAACACATGCTTCTGAAGTTTTTGCTATGAAATGCAAGTTAATTGAAAGTGAATTGATGTGTTTCGTAACATCCTGTGTTTTAACAGTAACCTGCTAACCTTGATGTAACAGCGGTTGTCTTGTCTTGACATAAAAGCACCAAACTACAGCACTAATGGAAGATTATTTTTTTTCTCTGTGAAATGAAAATGGAAAAAAGAGCCACTTTTTGTGTTTCATTACTCGGCTAAATTAGTTTAAGGGTTTTAGAGGCTATTAAGAAAGTATTTGGCATGTGTGCTCAAATCAAGCCTTCACAAATGTTTTGCTGTTTGCTGTTAGTTCAGAGAAACATCCTTGGTCAATAACAGCAAATGACTATTGGCATGTTTACAATGACTTTGACGTTAACATGCTAGGCACTAAGTGGTAATGACAGTGCACCAACAAGGTCTTTATGCCAAACAACAGCAGTCATAATGGCTTATTGACTGTTTTTAAAGGGTGATATGTATTTGTGTGCTTTGTAGCTATATCAGTATATAGAAATTTTTGCAGATGTCATTTTATGCTAAGTCTTTGGTTAACTCCTCCTAAAACCTCATTTAGTAAGACAGCGATTAGCAGCCACCTTTAAATTGCATCTTTTATTAAGGTGGTTTGAGTTTTTACATTAAATTGTTACATCATTAGCTCATTGTCAGAGCTGTATGGCTTAAATCCTAAACGGATGGTCTGGTTCTAAAGAGACATCTTTGGTTTTATGAGGGAAGATGGCTTTAAGTTGCTGGTTCCTATTTAATAAGCCGCAAGTTATCTTGAGCGGAAATCCTCGCTTCTGTTTGCCTTGTCAGTTGAAATTTAATTTAATTTGAAACAGAGAACAAGAAAAAGAAGTAAAGCTGTCAGTCATTGCAGGAAATGAGGACTGTATGTTACTCTCTCTCTCTATCTTTAAAGGGTGATCTCTGCAAGCACTTAGCTCAGGCATGAAGGATGAGACTGAATATTCATGTCGATTTTGTGGGCTGTGGTCTGGCAGCTGCAGGCTATGGTGATTTATCTTGAACGTCCATGTGTGTGTGTGTGTACAGACATGCTGTAAGGAGAAACCTTCTCAATCATTCATCCATCCATCAAACTCCTACACTAGATAGAAGCAGCTCTTTCAGAGATCTTAGATCAGCGTTCTGCACACCAATCCTTGGAAAGATACAGTTTCAAAGCAGGTTTCCAAACAGTTTCATGCTGATGTTCGAGCGAAGACCAAAATCTTTCAACATTTTTGCTTTTCAGTCAGTGGATTGCACCTCTGGTAGAGAAATATAGTACACCTCTCTATGCTTAAAGGTTAGTTCACCTAAAAAATAAAAATTCTTTCATCATGTACTCACCCTCATGTTGTTTCAAACCTGTATTGGCTTATTTTCTTTCGTGGGAGAATGCTTCAACTGTTTTTGCTTGCACAATGAAAGTAAATGGGGTCCGAAACAACATTAACTGTATGGACCACGAAAAATAAAAATAAAAATAAAAAATACAATATGGTGTTTCACAGACGGAAAAAAAAAGTAATGTAGGTTTGGAATGACGTGAGGTTGAGTAAATTATTTTACATTTTCATTTTTGGTTGAACTTTTTCTTTAAAGAATCTCGATTCTTATACACTGACGGGGGCTGAAACATGCATAATCATAATTATCATCATTATGTACTGTATAACAAGGGATCCAGATTTTTCCATTTATGTCTTGTACGCAGTGTTGGGAAGGTTACTTTGGAAATGTAATAGTTTACAGATTACAAGTTACCCTATCGTTATCATCAAAACAAGCAGAGAATTGCTTTATCTCGCTCTCTTAATTACATATCATTTCACTATCGAATTTAGTCCCAAATTAGAGCTAAAAGCAGAACGAAAGGGATAAAGGACTTGGGCTTTGTAAAAGGTGGTGGTCCCTTTTCACTCCATTACTCTTAAATGGTTGTATTTGCCTCTGCTCAGTTCGCTGTGTAAAATACCTTCATTGGTAAATGAATATAAATGCACCCAGCTCTCCGTCCTTTCTCCTGCATGTCATCTGAACAGGGAACATTGGGGTCGTTCTATTGCTCTTTCCTCGAGGGCTTTGTTGAGGAAGGGCTCTGAAGGGTGACGGAGAGATTCACTTTGCATCCTGGAATCAGATGTTATCTAGCTCTCACAGACCCACAGCAAAATATAGTATTTTCTCTAATATAAGCATTTTAAGGGTGAGCCAGAGGGCATGTCTGAAGATGAAGATGCTGCACAGTTCTAATCATGTTCCTCAAACAAACAAGGCAAAAAATGCAAGTCTGAAACCCCATAACTCATACGACTGTCAGTCTGATGAACAGCGATTATAACTGAATGATGTTAAACGCATGGTTCATCTAAAAATTCACCATGTCCTTCCAAACCTGTAGAGTCTCTTTCTTCTGCGGAACACAAAAGGATAATCTACTGGCTGCTCTTTTCTGGGCAATTATAATGCATGGGGACTAGAGCTTTCAAGCTTCCAAAAGGGCTAAAAAGCAGCATTAAAACAGTATGAAAGTCCACATGACTTGTGCTTTCCAAGTCTTCTGAAGCCATGCGAATGCTTTGTGTGAGTAATAGACTTTAAATAGATCAAAATTTAGCAAAAAAAAAAAAAAATTTTAATTCACTTCCAACTTCACCCCTAGTTCTCCTTTTAAATATTCATGAGAGGCCATGAGAGAAGTATTGATGCCCAATTTGTGAAATTTTCCCTTTGAATTTGATCTTTCCAGTAAATCAAAAACAGTCTGTGTGATTTGTTATTTGTGGTGACTCAAGACTTATCTGGTTTTAGAGGGGAAGGAGATCAGTCAATAATGACTTAAATTCCTCCCACTAAGCTATCATCACATGACTTTAGAAAAATATAGTTGCCTGGACCATTTTTATAATACTTGTATGGTGCTTTTGCATTCTTTTGAAGCATGACGTCAGCTCTTCGTTCATTTTACCTGCATGAAAAAGAGTAGCCAGTACATTCTTCAAAATGCCTTCTTTTGTCTTCCACAGAAGAAAGAAATACAGTATGAGAGTGAGTGCATGGCATATGTGACAGAATTTTCATTTTCTGATAGAAATCCAAAGTAATATTTTGGGTTATTTCAAACAAATTTCTGTGTACTGTGTCTGGAGCATACAGCCAATTATCACAGCTATTCTGACTCGTGTGTGTATAAATTGAAGCAAAACACATTATGCTACATACAGAAATAATAGCAGTATAATTTCATAATACCTATGAAAATTTAAGCCTATAATTTGCAGTACTGCAATTAAATCTTTCAATATGCAACTGTCAAACCTTTTCAAAAGTAAACACTTTACAGTCTTGGCTACAAAAAACACAAGACTCCAAATGTTATAATTACCGTCCCTTTTGACAACCAGCTCCAATATATAAATTATAGTTCCCCTTCAGGAACTTGAGCTGCGTCGAGTCGCTTTGGGAACGCTTCAGCGTGACCATGCTCTGAATCACATGTGTAATCAGTCTATAATATTTCAACTCTTGTTATGACCAGTTAAAAAAGTAAGGTCACTCAGGTATTTCTGTGCAAGGAATACCAGTAAGGCACAGGAGGGACAGGACATAAATATTGCAGGTGATATGTAAACAACTGTTTATTTGGAGCCGCATGCGTTCATATCGACCTAGAGAGAATTGCCATCTCAGGAGGACGATTCAGACAACTTTACAGCTCAATAAATATAAATTTTTTTATACTAAATTATTCATGAAATGTAAAATTATACATGTAATAAAAAATATACAAGCTTCACATTAGTACTTTTAAACAGTTCGGGCCAATTTGCCTGCTGAGCTTTCATTAAAAATGTATTTCACTGTATTTCATGGCATTTATACACATGCAGAGTAAGTCAAAATTATTGTTTGTGGAAATCAACAGCGTGTTACGAATCAATTAATAAAAAAATCGATGAAGTCTAATAAACTTTCTTTCTTTCTCTTTCCAGGTGTTTACACGTTATGGGAAGTGTTACATGTTTAACGCTGCCGAAGAGGGGAAGACTTTGAGGACTACGATGAAAGGAGGCACAGGCAACGGCCTGGAGATCATGCTGGACATCCAGCAAGATGAATACCTGCCTGTTTGGGGAGAAACAGGTACACACACTCACACACACACATGCAGTCAACCCTAATCACACTATGTACACTTGAGCTTTCCCAGAGGGTTTCCTTGTTAAACATCTCTCCTCATTTGCAGGAGAAACTCTGATTGTCTTACAGGTGTCTGATTAGGGCAAGGTTTTGTCAGCGCTTTCAGTGTGACGCCGTCCCCAGGGACGTGGTGAATATTTGTGAGAGAATCATACCTTGAAGAACAGCTGTGATGCTGTAATGGTGTTGACAAATCCAGTGGGATTCATTATCAAATAGAAGTTCTTGCATGCTGTTGAACTGATCTGATGCAGTTACACTTCTCTGAAAAGTGGTACACAAAAACTTCACTTTTTTGATTACCATTGTGACACCCATGCAAAGCATAGCTTCCCTTGTAGTGTGCACGATATTTCAAAGGAGATGAAAGCATTTAGGATTAAAAGAGCGGCATTGAGTATTCCCAGCAAAAGATTCATTAGCATTTGAAAGGTTACAAGTTTAGCTGAGGCTGAATTCAAATTTATTCCAAGAAATATCGAATACTTTTTCCGACAATGAACAATGAGAAGGAATCAGAGCGTGATGACTATACATTTCATCAGCTGTTTTGGAAGAGTGGCCTTTAAAGCAATGGCACGTACTGTACCTCAGCTTTATTGCTGCTTGCAGGGCTGATGCGTAAATCCTTTAGATTTACTTTTTCCTCACCTTCACATAACTGTGAAGGATATGGACAATTCTTCTAAAATTCCGATGCACCATAGATCTAGTATATGGCCTGTTTTATGGCCCAAAGTCCATCTGTTGTCGGATCAGCCATTAGAGCAGTGCTGTGGGGCAAGTGCCTTTGGGGAGATTTTGTAAAGGTGAATACTGAGGTCTCATTCTCTTCCTTGCATTCAGATTTAATGCTATGATGATGCAAGCAAGAACCAATGAAGTTTGTGCACATTTTCTTCTGCTCTTTTTTTATGGTGTCCAGCGTTCTCACTGCACTGCTCTTATGTAAACACATTCTCGCGTGTATCATTAAAGCACCAGATTTGAATTGTATGAAGATGTTCAGTGAATAATGACTCTCACAAATCTCTCGTATGGTTTCAGAAGACTCTGAGTATTCCTCATTTGGAATCACTTTTATGATTATTTTATGCAATTTTTGGAGCTTGAGAGCCACTATCCTCTCATCCCACATCCATCTCCTGTTGTGTTCCATGTTGAGTCAATTAATTTTAATTTTTGGATGAACTTATCCTTTGATATTGCTCCGGCAAAGATGTTTTCATTTATTATGTATTCATTTATTTAAGGACATTTGGATAAAATGATCAAAATGATCTTTGCACAGAAAATAAAAGAACACTATAGGCTTACTGGCAAAATAGATGAACTTTTCATTATTCAACAAAATCAAATTTAAAGTTTCATTGTTTTTTTGTTTTTTTTTAAACATAATGCTGTTTTATTCTTCAACAGAAAAAGGCACATAACGCTGAAAGACAAAATGGAGTTGATGTTTTTCACAGCAGTTTTTTTGTGAACTTCCACAACTAATAGATACAGTAGATGAGGCTATAGTGGTGGGGGAGTTTTTCAAGCTTCAAAGGGAGGTGTGACAATGAAAAAAAAAATCTAGCACCGATTGGATAGATGAAAAGTCAGCAGATCACCTGCTGTATTGTTTACTTTCTTTGGAGTCTAAATGATCAAGACCAGAAAGTCATCTGTCTGCATCCACTGCTCTACCTCTGACACTCTAACATTTTTGGAGGGCCATGGGGAAAGAAATGGAAAAATTGGAAATGGAAGAGGTGAAGAGGAAGTGTGCGCATGCATATGTAATATAATAAATGTGCTACGTCGTGCTGAAAAATCTTGGCACAATGCACAAGGAAGATGACACGTCTGGAGCAGAGAAAGAGTCCATGATAAACTTGCTATCATCTTATTCAAATTTAAGACATTGAGAGAGATCCCTGAGCCTCACTGAATAAATGTGCAGCCAATCCGTCATTCTGTCTGCTGGTTTCCAACTCTGATGAATGCAGATTGATGAAGAACTTATTCACTTTGAAAGAAGAAATGGGGAGATAAACAATATATTATGTAGAGCAAGATTTGTTGTGCTTGAATGGGAATATTTATGTGTTTATTGTTTTTTGGATGCGGTGTTGAAGCTCAGCAGTACTGTAAATTCAGTTGAAAGATCACTACTTTGCTTTCTTGTTTCAATGCATTTCACATTCCCCTTTCTCATTTCACTTCTCTTTCCTCTTCATGTTTTTGTGTTATTCTTCTAAATTAGTTCCTTCATACTAAATAAACTTACTTTCAATATCTCTCCTTGTAAAAGATACAAATTTAAGTCAATGTAAGTTGGCTAACTTTCGTTAGTTATCTTATCTGTGGGCTGTAAGATCTAGAATTCTAAATTATAATAAAGTATCACTGTAAGATTACATTTTTCTAAATAAATGTAGAGAAAGAGAGAGACTGTGCATGCGTGAATTACTTGCATATGTATTATTGAGTATTCAGACTGACCATGGTTTAAAATATTTGTTTACCTGCACATCTCTGGATGTTCTTTTTTTTTTTTTTTGAGATGTTATTGATTCAGTGAGCACAATGCCTTAAAAAAATGTTTCAGCTTTATCAAAAGGCCTTTTCGTGTTTGTGTCCATGTTGCTTTCTTTATTTTATGTGAATTCTTGTTTATGCTTTTTTCTTTTCTTTTTTTTATTTGTAGCCATGTGTGCAAGTGAATTTGAATAAGTAAAGTTAAAATTAAATGAAATAAAATCATATATATGCAGGTTTTTAATAAGAATAAAATTATGATTATTATTATTATTATTAATACAAAAATGCAATATTTTTAATACAACTTATCTCTGTATTATTTACCCATAAACAAGTCATACACAACATATTGGTTATTTCCATGAAATTATGATAATAATCAATGCTTATAGGGCAAGGTTTACTAAACAGGGCAAATTAGTGTTAGAGCGCAATTCAAGAAAAGTGCCGATGGGAGGGGAAAATTATGTGTGTGATTTACTGACAATGCTCACATTAAAGAACACAGATGCAACATTTCATTTCCATAATGACCAGCGCAATCTACCAAGAGTTACCTCCCGCTTTAAGACATGCTTTTTTTCGCGTTCAATAATGGCGCAAATACCAGTAATTTGACGAGCACAAACGTTAGTAAATCGCGTTGCGTGATTAATTTTAATACTCTCCTCCCATAAATTTTTGCGTCTGTAAGGGAAACTCCTACAAATGCATATTCAATAAGTCAGGCACAAAAATAACTGTCCACGCCTTTTCAGCGCTAATGCTTTACTGTGTGTCTTTAGTAAATCTTGACAGTGCTGTTTTAACGCCAAAAGACACAAGATGCAAGCTGTTAGTAAATCTGGCCCTTAAAATGCCACCTATAGGAGTGTTTTATTTAATTTATATATTTCATTATATTTAATATGGACAATGGTGGAAAAGCACTTCATGTCCCATGAATGCTGTGTTTACATACTGACAAACAGGGGCGCCGCTAGCAATTTTGGGCCCTATGATAGAATATGAGGTTGGGCCCCCTACCACACCAAACATACACTATATTGCCCAAAGTATTGGGACCCCCCCCTATAATGAACAGGTTTGACTACTTTAATAATTGCCACAAGTACAAATCTTAATGTTTAAGCATATAATGATATTCTAGGGAATTGTGTGCTTCTAATTTTATACCAATAGTTTGGACAGGACCCTTTTCTATTCTAACACGACAATGCCTCTGTGTATAAGGCAAGGTTAATATATATATATATAGTCATTGGTGTTTGGTGATGAGTTTTGGTCTCAAGGTCTGCATTTAAAGTCACACCAGAGGTGTTCAGCTGGGATTAGGACTTTGCTTTCTGCAGACCAGTCAAGTTCTTCCACGTTGACTGAATCAATCTTTTTTTTTTTTTTTAACCTTGCCTTATACACAGAGGCATTGTCGTGTTAGAATGGAAAAGGGTCCTGTCCAAACTATTGGTATAAAATTAGAAGCACACAGTTCCCTAGAATATCATTCTATGCTTAAACATTAAAGGTCCCCTAAAATGCTTAGAAACACGCAGCGTTACTCTATGTGTTGACGTCAGTTTAACTGAAACAGGAAGACAGGGCGGGACATATCAAGCAGCCCTGCCCCGAATTCAAATAGCTCCGATACATTTTGGGGTCTGCGCTGACTCGCGCATATGATCCGCTCCGTGCTATCGTGTCTCTGGACCGGAGCAGAGTGTGTGTGCGGTGTGGTGGTTAGCGTGACACAGCGCCAAACCAGACTTATTTTTTTCCTCAATGGAAAGCATATTTACACTGTTTGAATCGTTCCCTGTCCCCTATATAGTGCACTACGTGCCATTCACTGTACAGAAAATACAAATTCTGTGGACAAGTGACCGATTTCAGCTGCGGCTTCAGCGTCTATTTTATAGTGTAGGGGGCGGGCGCTTCGGATTCTAGAGAGCATTTGATTGGACAGAAAGTTTGATGAGAAGCTGAAGTACACTGTGATGTCAAAAAAAATAATTGAGCTGTTTTGGCGGAAGTGACGAACTGCAAGCTTTGAATGCTTATATCTTCTAAATGCGAATTTTGTCACTGTTTTGGAGCACACTGCCTTATAGATAACCTTAAGACTAACATATTGATACTAACACCCAAAAAACTTTAATTTTGATTTCATGGGGACTTTAAGATTTGTACTCATGGAATTTATTAAAGTAGACAAACCTGTTCATTAGAAGGGGGTGTGCCAATACTTTTTGCAATATAGTGTACAAGCCAACCTAGCTATTCAAAATCTTTGTCTGCAATTTAATAATATTGACCTATTACTTTTGCTATTGCTTTTGCCCATTAGGTATCAGGAACATAATTCATTCAGAACCTTTTCTATGAACATAGACTTTCTGTACCACACTATTCTGCTGTTA